GGTACAAAGCTGCTGGAGGAGGGAGCTGGGGGCCAAGGCCTTGACTCACCCACACTTTCTGGCTCCCTCTGCTGAAAGATCCAAGCCTCCCAAGTCTCAGGGGCCCAGTAATGTGACCCAAACAGACGCCTCAAGGGTTGTCATACATCTCTGCTTGTCACTTTCACTGCCTTAAAAACAAGCTGCAGCTCCCATTTCCTGCAAAATAGAAGCCATGTTCTCCAGCCTGCATGCGCAGGCTCCGCCTTCATCTCTAGCCTCAGAGCCCAGGTGCTCTGTGGAGCCTGCAGGATGACTGCATAAGCCTTCCTGTCATCCACATCTCCATCCTGCTCTTATACAGAAACCAGGTTTAGAACTGGGGTGTGGGTACATGCCTGTAGTCTTAGTGCTTGGGAGGCTGAGGCTGGAGGATCCCCGAGTCTGGAAATCCAAGGCCAGCCAGCCTGGACAACATAGGATCTCATCTCAATAAGATGAGTTGGGGGACACACACCTGCAATCTCAATACTGGTTGGAGTGGAGGACGAGAAATTCAGAAATTCAAGGTCAGCCCTTGCTACTAAGCAAGTCCAAGGTCAGCCTTGGCTACTTAGCAAGTCTAAGATCAGCCTTGGCTACTTAGCAAGTCCAAGGCCAGCCTGGGCTACATGAGACCCTTTTTCAAAACAACAACAACAACAAAAACCCCCAGAGGCATACCTCTCTCTCATAAATAAACATAAATCTTTAAAAAAAAATCAAGCTAGGGTTGGAGAGATGCACTGTGCTCTTCAGAAACCTGGGTTCAGTTCCCAGCACCCACATGGCGGGTCATAGCTCCAGTTCCAGGGGATCTGATGCCCTCTTCTGTGGGCACCAGGCACACACATGATGCACAAACATACAAGCAGGCAAAACAATTACCCAAATAAAAATGAATTAAAATGCTAAAAAAAATAGTCATGCATGGCAGCATGCACAACTTTCATCCCAGTACTCTGGAGGCAGATGCATGTAGATATAATGGAATTCAAGGCCAGACTGGTCCATATAGTGAGGTCTAGGCCAGTTAGGACTACACAGTGAGACTGAGTCTTAAAAACAAACAAACAAACAACAAAACAGGCCAGGCAGTGGTGGTGCACACCTTTAATCCCAGCACTTGGGAGGCAGAGGCAGGCAGATCTCTGTGAGTTCAAGGCCAGCCTCGTCTACAGAGTGAGTTCCAGAGCAGCCAGGGCTACAAAGAGAAATCGTGTTTGGAAAAACCAACCAACCAACCAAACAAACAAACAAAAACAAAAAACAGTTGGAGTCAACATTTGACACTAAAAGCAGCCGGGTGGCAGGCAAGCAAGGCTGTCCCTCTGTAGAATGAGCCCTGTGAAACCCCCTCTCACAGTGCCTTGATTCTGCAATCCTACCAAAAGCCATTTACCTCTGTGTGTGTGTGTGCGCGTGTGTGTGTGTGTGCGCGCGCGCGCGTGTGTGTGTGTGTGTGTGCGCGCGCGTGCGCATGCCAGAGGTCAACCATGGGTATAACTTCTCTTGAACTGTCTACTTTGTTTTTGAGACCAGGTCTCTCACAGGGACCTGGGGCTTGTCAATCAAATGAAGCCTGCAGACCAGGTAGCCCCCGAGACCACCTCTCCCTCCTCAGCACTTGGATTACAAGCTCAGCTTTTGTTGTTTGTTTTTTTTGGTAGCCCAGGTTGCCTCAGACTCACTATGTAGCTGAGGCTGGTTTTGAAGTCCTGATCCTCCTGCTTCGGCCTTCCAAGCGCTGGGATTACAGGTAGGCTCAGCAACTTTTTAATGTAGTTATTAGGAAGTGAACTCAGGTCCCTTGTGCTTACCGGGCAAACACTAACGACTGAACTCTCCCCAGCTCCTCTGTTCCCTTTCTTAGCTGCTGAGATGCCGGAGGGAAGGCTCCATACTTCCTGACAGCCGAGGCTGCAGAGGACAGTGCTGCCATGAGACCTCTCCACTGCGGTCCTGTGTCATGATCCCCACACCCAGAGGGAGCTTGTCTCCTGACAGCTGGGTCTCACACCAGCACAGTTCATTTGCTGCTGCTCCTGAGGAGTGACAGCAGCTTGAACAAAGCAATTAGGATGAAAAAGAGGCCCAGCTGCTTGGGGCCAGAGGAAAATAAACAGACCGGTCCTGTGTGTACTCCATGGCCAAGAGGAGCAATCCTTCACTGGGTGATTAGCTTTTCCAACCACAGCCTCCTCCATCCCTGGAAGAAAGACAGGGTGGCTGCTATTCCCGGATCCCACTCTACCCAGGGTGTATAGGTCACCCTTTCCTCATGAAGTCTGCTCTGCCCCCTACCCCTCTACCCCCCAGCCCTCACTGCCTGGACAGAAACTTTCCCCACCCCTCTGAAGTCTGAGGCTTGCTAGGTACCCCCCAGGGGTTTTTCTCCCAGTTGCTCTATTGACTCATCCTTTTGTTCTTTCTGTCAGCAGACATCCACTGAACACTACTCATTCATCTAACAGATGGCACGCATCCTTGCTGTGTTGTAGACACTGCTCCTGGTACTAGTGATACATCAGTGAACAACACAAACAAAAGTCTCTGCCCTTGGGCTGGGAGCACAGCCCACTGGTAAGGTGCTTGTCTAGCATGCTGGAAGCCCTGGGCTCAGTCCCTAGCACCATGAGTGGGGAGATTGCTGCTCTCTTGGATTTCGAATTTTAGCAGGGGAGAAAAAGCTAAGAAACAGGTGAAACCACAGCGGAGAGGAAGGTGCTAAATGCTGCAGAGGGCTGGAGAGAGAGTTCAACAGTGGAGAGGTCCTCTTGGAGAGGACATTTTGGTGTGTGTGTGTGTGTGTGTGTGTGTGTCTGTGTGTGTGTGTGTCTTAGTCAGTGTTCTATTGCTGTGAGTAGACACATGACCATGGCAACCCTTATAAAAGAAAGCATTTCATTGGAGCTTGCTTAAAGTTTCAGAGGTTTAATCCACTATTGTCATGGCAGGAGCATGGTGGCACATAGGCAGACATGCTGGAGAAGTAGCTGAAAGTTCTACATCTGGATCCACAGGCGGCAGGAAGAGAGAGAAAGAGCCACTGGGCCTGGCTTAGGCGTTTGAAACCTCAAAGCTAAACCCAAGGAACACATTCCCTCCAATAAGGCCACACCCACTCCAACAAGGCCACACCCACTCCAACAAGGCCACACCCACTCCAACAAGGCCACACCCACTCCAACAAGGCCACACCTCCTAATCCTTCTCAAGCAGTGCCACTCCCTGATGACTAAACATTCAAATACATGAGCCTATGGGAGCCATTCTTATTCAAACCACCACAGTGTGTCTGTGTGCACATGTGTGTATGTATGTGTGCATAAGTATGTCTGTGTGAGTGTTTGCTTATGTGTGCTTGCCTGCAATGTGTTCATGTACATGCATATGCCTATAAACCGAACGACAGTTGTTATTCCTCAGATGCTGTCCATCTTCCTTTTTTTTTTTCCTTCCTGAGAAAGAGTCCCTCATTGGCCAGGGAGCTCCAGGGACTTCAACATCTCTGCCTCACCAGTGCTGGATTGCCAGCCTATGCCTCCACACCCAGCCTTTTAAGGTGGATGCTGGAGTCAAACTCAAGTCTTTGTGCTTCCAGAGCAACATTTTACCAGCTGAACTGTCTCTGTAATCCCCTCATTACCTTTCTTTGTTGCTGGCTGGAGTTTTAATTTTTTTTTCAAGGCAGGGTTTCTCTGTGTAGCTTTGCGCCTTTCTTGGAACTCACTCTGTAGCCTAGGTTGGCCTCGAACTCACAGAGATCCGCCTGCCTCTGCCTCCCGAGTGATGAGGTTAAAGGTGTGTGCCACCACCACCCGACTTGAAGTTTTATTTTTTATTTATTTATTATTTTTTATTTGTAAACATAGGCTCTTGAGATTAAATTCATGTCCTCCCACTGGCAAAGCAAGCACGTTAACAACTGGGCTAGCTCCTTAGTTTTGCTTCAAATTCTTTTTTTTCCTTTGTGTTTGTTGTTTATTTATTTATTTATTTATTTATTTGTTTTTCGAGACAGGGTTTCTCTGTGTAGCTTTGCGCCTTTCCTGGAACTCACTTTGTAGACCAGGCTGGCCTTGAACTCACGAGATTGGGATTTAATCCTGAGCTGGGATTAAAGGCATGCGCCACCACTGCCCAAACAAAACCCTGGCTTCAGAAGTAGAGAACACAACGTTAGTATGGTACTTCCTGGGCATGGAGCCTGGTGTCGGGCTGTCACTGATGATAAAAGTGGTGTGTGTGTGTGTGTGTGTGTGTGTGTGTGTGTGTGTCTTCACTGTTATACAACCACAAGTGAGGGACTGTGGAAGAAATGAACTTATTTATTTATTTATTTATTTATTTATTTATTTATAGGCAGTGTCTCTCTATGTTGTTTTGGCTGTCTGGGAACTTGCTATGTAAGCCAGTTTGGCCTCCAAATCAGAGATCCCCCTGCCTCTGCCTCCCTTGTGCTGGGATCAAAGGCGTGTGCCACCAGGCCTGGCTACTGCTTAAAATTCTCAAATGCTTAAATAAGTCAACTTTGGGAAAACTGTGTGAATGCTGTATGCTCATTACTATACATAAAAGACAGCTCTAAAAGAAGGTGCCACTCTGGGTGAGAATAGACAAAGTGCAAAGACCCAGGACAGCAGGCCTGTCGGAGCCAAACCTAGAGTTCATTGAGGAAGAGCCCATGAGCTGACAGACCTTAACGTCACAAGAGTCAGTGCTCTGGATGCTAGGGAAAATGTTCATCACCTGGAATTAGAGGCAATGGAGGACCATGGGTCCTTACAGCATCACTCTGGATCAGGGCTGAACAGTGGACTGACTTAATTATGAAGGGCTATGTATTTCTATTTTAATGACTTATCATTGCATGGCCCCAGACATCATTAAGTCCTGTGCTAGCCTGTGGGTGTGCACAAGTCTGTGCATGCGCACATGCGAAGATGAAAAGATTCTTTTCCAGGACACAATTATTAAAATGATGGTTTTATTGCCCCCAAGACATGAACCAGCATCATCTCTGACCTAGCAAACTTACTTCTGCACATCTTTGCCAATTCAATATACAAATCTCTGTCTCTCAGATGATTTTTCCAACCAGCTTCACATTCTTCTAGTTCCCCCATTAGTGAGCTGAGTAAGTCATTGACTGATGATAAAAGTGTGTGTGTGTCTATTCACTGTTATACAACCACAAGTGAGGGACTGTGGAAGAAATGAATGTAAAAAGAGTTTGCCTAGAATTCACAGGATACGAATGTCAGGGTTTATTCTTGTGAGTCATAGACTAGACTATCACAAAGGCTAGAAGATTTCACACTCCTGAAGGCAGCTTATTTCAGGGTTAGGACACAGGTCAGGAGTAGAGGTAGCAAGTGACAGCCTGACACCAGGCTCCATGCCCAGGAAGTACCAGACTAACGCTGTGTTCTCTACTTCTGAAGCTGGGGTTTTGTATGGCTTGGGTCCTGGAGGATGGAGACGTATGATACAGGACCACTGAAGGAAGTCTGCCGGGCACATGGCCAGGCTGGAGGGCTGAAGCAGGCATCTGTAACAGAAGCTGAGTCTGGGTATCGCTTTTTGTTGTTATTGTTGTTTCAAGATAGGGTTTCTCAGAAAACCCTTTTCTTGCTGTCCTGGAACACACTCTGTAGACCAGACTAGCCTAGAATTCAGAGACCCTCCAGCCTCTGGCTCTGGTCCTGAGATTAAAGGCAGGCATCATCACCACCCAGCTCTGGGTATTGCTTTTAAGACTGGAGTTGTTTAACAACACATTTCAGTGGCAGACCTCTAACTAGTGATTCTTGTAAGACATCATTTTATTCTGCAGGCAAGGAAGTGCCCAGCTCAGTTAGGAGCATGGGACTTCTGCTTTTATCATCTGCATTCAGGTGGGGCTGCGCATACAACACAGAATGTCACAGAGATCAATGAGGGATGCAGGCAGCCAGGACGGAAAACAGGAGCTAGATCAGCCAATCCTGCTGAAAGGAGGTGGGAACAGAGCTAAGAAGGAGGAACAGGAAAGGCATTACAGGGCCAGGGAGTGGTCACAGCAGAGATTAGGGGAGAGATGGAGCCTCTGGCTTATCCAGGAAGGAATGCGCCCAGATCGGCAGGACTAGGCTCCTTACACCGTAAGTAACCCGGTCAGGAGGTTGACAATCTACTGTCTCATAGTGATCACAAAAAAAGATAGGTAAAGGAATTACACCTGGGTGCTTCCTTTCCATTCCAGTCCCCAGAGCTACTGTAGGGAATCCTCGCTTCCTCCCACGGGCTTGCTCCAGGCTCAACAGAGTTTTGTCTGCTACAAGTCAGTCCAGCCTCACTCACAGCCTAAATGCCTCCGGCTTCAGCTGATCTCCTGTAAAGTCTGGAGCTCACAGAGACCCTGTCTGGTCCAGTCTTGCCCCTGTTTCCTCTTGGAGGGCTTAGACTCTCTGGTCCGACTCCGCTTCTCCAGACTGTATCCTGTCTGCTCTATGCCATATATATATATATATATGCCTATTTCCTGGACTTTATCTCCCCTTCTCCGTGCTGACTGCTTTGGTATTCTTTTTATCGCAGTGTGGGTTTGCTTTTAACTTTTTTTTAATTAACATGTTGCTTTTAGTTTGAGGATGGAGGCAAATTATGTGTAAACCTTTTTTTGTCATCCTGAGACTTCTATTAAGACCAAGTATCCTAGACTAGTCTCCAAGTTTTCTGTACCCAGACTGACAACTAGGCCCAGCATTGTGTTGACACTTTGTATCTGCTAATTAGCAGTTTGGTTAATAGCACTTCATCCACTTCTCACCACAGCTCACCTACAAGCTTAGATAGTCTGAATAGTAACCCCACCCCTTTCCCTGAGGCTGTGACCCACCAGCTCTCAGCAGAGCCCAAGTGATTTGAGGACCCAGCCATCTGCGGTGCTCAGGGCTTCTTGGATATCCACACCACCAGAAAGCAGAGACCTGAGTGTCCCAACAGGGAAAAAGGAGTTTCCAAGAGCTCCTCAATCCAGGTTCACGAATCTGAAGTCATTCTGAGCTCACAACTCTGGCAACGCGGTGGCCACAGGCCCAGTAGTGCCAGGGGGCAGCCGCAGGAGAAAGGTCTGTAAGGAGCCAGGGCGAGGAAATCCAGCCTTCTCCCTGAGCAGCCGCCAGGTGCCATCTTCAATGGCATAGACCAACGTGGATACACGGTTGACAGTATAGACGGTGTCCCCACGCACCACGGATGTGAAGAGTGCTCCCTTGCTGTTGACAAACTGGCCAGGTAGCGACGTCCACTGGCCCGTGACCAGGTTGAGGCAATCGATGGCACAGTGCAGGAAATCATCAGAAGGTCCATTACGCACCACATAGAGACTGTCACGATGGGCCACCATAAAGTGGCCGTAGCTCTGCGAACGACACAGTTCAGCCACCGGCACCCACTTGTCCATCTGCACCACGTACTCAACAACGGCAGTGATATCTGCCGGCCTCCACAGGCACACGAAGAGGCGGCCACGCGCGTGGGCACAGGGAACCCCTGTAGCTGGCTGCGGCAAGTCCGCCACGAAGCTCCAGCAGTCTGTGGCGGGATCGTAGCACTCCACGGAGCTCATGGGCGTCTTCTGGAATTCGCCACCAATGGCATAGAGGCGGCCTTCAAAGCCGGCCAGCGCCAAATCATAGCGCGGCTGGTGTGGGCTGGGGAATTCGCACCAGGTGCCTCCTTCCGGGTCGTAACAGAAGCTCAGCTCCACTACCTCCTTGCTGGCTCCGCACACACCACCCACGATGTACAGCTTGTTGCCCAGAGTGGCCACGCCTGCCAGCAGCGTGCTGGCCTCCAAGGGCAGTGCGGCCAGCGTGCGCCACGCGTCCTCCTCCTCGTCCAGGTAGCACATGGTGCGCGATGCATCCTCCAGGAAGCCGGGCGCGGGCGTGTGCGTGCTCACGGCCACGTAGGTGCTAGGTCGCAGCGCTGCCACGTAGGCACGGGCCTCGGGCAGCTCCAATTCCGCCACCAGCTCGTGCGCGCCGTCACGGATGAAGAGCGCAGCGCTGTGGAGCACGTCGCGCAGGCCGAAGGCGGCGGCCGCGTCGCACAGCAGCGAGCAGTTGTCCGACGTGACGCTGTGCTCCAGGAACCGCGCGAGCGCGGGCGCCTGCAGGAACGCGGCGCACTCCACCGCCTGCAGCAGCTCGTCGTCTGCGGCCAGCGCCGGCCGCTCTCCGCGCAGCACCCGCAGCGCCGTGCCGAAGCCCGCGGCGCTCAGCGCACCCAGACGCACCTCGGCCGCGCGCGCCTCCCGCATGCCGGAGCGGAAAAGCCCACGGAAGAAGCCGCAGTGCTCCACCAGCAGCGACTGCTCGGCCTGGAAGAGTTGGCCGTCCACCCACACCTGCACCGGGATGTCGGGACCTGGTGGCATCCTGAGCCAGAGGGGCGGAGGCTGCTGCCGCCGCTGGGGGGGCCTAGATTTGCCTGGGGCCACTGACTCTGGGGCTACCCCGGGGCGGGGAGGAAAAAAAAAACTTCCCTAGGGGATATAAATACCTTCCTGGCTAAAGATAGGATGGCTCATGTGATATGGCCCGCAGGCTTGGATGGCCGCCTGGCCCAGAGGACATCTGGACACCTGTGTGGTCATTCACTTCTATTAAGAGACTAATGACAAGGGCCAGCGATGGTCCAGCAGGTAAAAGTTCTTTCCTACAAACCTGATTGGCCTAGGTTCAACCTGGAACCTACATAAAGCTGGAAGGAGAAAACCCACTCCACAAAGTTGTCCTTTGACCTCTGTAGTCACACTGTGGCATGCATCCCATTTCCACAGAGACTCAGTTACTTTTTTTTTTTTTTAAAGAAACAGTGACAATACTAACCATATAACTGAATTCCCACTGCATGCTGGGCTTTGCCAGACCCGCTTGTAAAGACATCCCATTTAACTGGCACCATACCAAGTTGTTCCCACATACAAAGCATGTACCTCGGCTCTGTTTCCTCATCTTTAAAATGGGTTAAGAGCACTGACTGCTCTTCCAGAGGACCTGGGTTCAATTTCCAGCATCCACATGGCAGCTCACAACTGTCTGTAACTTCAGATCTAGGGGATCAACACCCTCACACAGACATACATGCAGGTGAGACGCCAATGCATATAAAATAAATAAGCTTTTAAAAATTTTTAAAAATGGGGTCAATAGAAACACCTATTAACAGTATTGGGACAAATTCCATAAGGTGTTCTGAATGAGGTCTGGTGGCTTCATGTGACTTGTCCAAGGTTATTCAGCTGGGGACAAGAGTTCATCAGCTCAAAAGGGCGGGGCAGGCAAGATGAAGAGAGAGAACAAAGTGGAGCATCAGGCCAGGATCCTCAAGTGTGCCTCTGTCCAAGCTTGTGGCTAAGCCCAATCAATGCCCCCCACTCGTGTTTTGCCTGCACATATGTAAGTGCATCCCACAAATGCATTGCCATTGGATGCCAGAAGAGGACCTCAGATCCCTTGGAACTGGGAACTGGGATTACAGACAGTTGAGAGTCACCATGTGAAAGTGGGTATACATGCTGGGAATCAAGCCAGGTCCTCTGGAAGAGGAGCAAATGCTTGCTCTTAATGCTGAGCAGTCTCTGGGGCCCTTTCTGAGTCTCTTTAAAAGCCCATTTCCTTTCATGTAAGGGAGCATCCAGTGAACCCCTATAGGCAGAAGCTGCCCCTCACTTAGAAGTGGGAAGCTGGTGTTTGGTCTTCACTTGTCTAACCCCTCTGTGGCTGCTATCACCTTGGATGAAGAAAAGGACAGGTGTGGGAGGATGGCATACCTGTGGATGAGAAAGTCTTCCTCATACAACAACTTAAATTTAAGCCACACTTAAATTGCATTGTGATAAGCACTTTGATTCCTAATCCTTGCAACACCCAGGAATAGTTACTATGGCCCGATCCCTAATGCCCCTGTTGAATACACACTATCCACTTACTTTTTACAGCAGCACTATGAGCTGGATTTCTTTGCTAGACAGGGTCTGATGTATCTTAGGCCGGCTTCAGACTTGCTGTGCAGTGAGGATGACCCTGAATTTCTGATCCTGCCCAGGGTCTTGCAGCTCGGGACAGACAGCCCCAGGCCTACTGCAGCCCAGTTTGTGGTGCATTTCCAAGTGTGCACGGCCTTCCTAGTTGACCATCTAACACGAGACCCCCAAATATCAGATGGAAAGGAGTCTGGTGATTGCCTTCTCCTACCACTCCAATGCAGGCCAGGAAACTGAGGCCCAGACTTTGATAGGATGGTATATGCCCTTTGGGAGATGTTCAGCTTTGGTCCTCCTTTGGGAAGATAGAACAGCTATCCCCTACCGAAAAGAAAGTAGGAGGAGGGCAGGAGACCTCCCCTCCCCTTTAAGACACAGACATAGAACATGTAGATGAATCTGCAGACCAAAGAAAATGTGCCTCCCTTAAGGCGCTCCCTAGTTCACCCCATCATAACAGGCCTGGGGTGTGGGGACCACTAGTGTGAGCCCTGGAAGCCAGAGGCCTCAAAGACGCTGCCAGAAATATCTCAGATGCTTTGCCCCAGGGACTAGGCAGGAAGAGGGGAAAGAGATGGGGGTGGGGTGGGCAGAAGTCCCGTGAGTACTATCTCAGGCTCTCTGCCAGTATCTCTCCTTCCCTGAGACCAGTCGTTGGCTGGAAGGGCCTAGACTGTTTCCAGCAGTAGGCATGAAAACCCCTTCTTGGAGACAAGTGAACACTGTAGTGTCAGATCTTTGCCCATATTCTTGGGAGGCCTTGGTGATGGGAAGAGAGTGTCTGGTCTGGGAGGCTTCCAGATGAGGGGGGCTTTTCCTCAGCTATGAATGATAGTGTGGGACTTGACAGAACTCTGTCTACTGGCCCTACAGCCTGCTCCCCACCTAGCCTGGCTCTGTCTCTCCACCTGCATAGTCCTTGCCTCAGCAAGAGTGGGACTAGCGAAGGCAGGCTGCCAAGAGCCCAGGGCTGCTGCAGAGTTACCCTCAGCTAGCCTGTTCCAGACACCTGGTAGAAGCCAGACAGCCAAATAGAGCCATCACAGGCCTCTCCTAAGAGCAGGAGGTAAAAATCACACAACTCATCCAGACTGAATGAAGTTTAGCCTCCGTCCATTTTTACCGCAAGTCAAGACCTCTTGAGTGGGTGGGGGCTCATACACACACCCTGTTTCCACCTTCCACAGCCTGATGATGGAGAGGGGTCCACCTAAGGTGGAGATCATGGTTCTGAATCTGAGCGGAGGCTCTGCCCTTTGGTCCCACCCTCAGGGCCCAGCTGGTGTTGTGTGCAGCTGGGAGTTTCCTCCTCCCAGATCCTGAGTGGCCCTCTGGGAGATGGAGAGGACAAGGAACTGTCTTGGCTGTGGGCAGCCCACAGAGTTCCCAGGCCCTGCCTGACCCCTGCCCGACCTCTAACAAACCCCCTCTCCCTTTGCACTCCCCACACTGAGGGAGATTGGGGGTGGGGAGGAAAGGCAGGCACCAGGCTCTGAGCCTTGGAGGAGCACAGACCCAATCCTTATTCATATCTGCAGCTACACAGCTAGCACCCAGTAGGCTCGCTCTCTTTTTATTTAATTAAAAACAACTTTTAGAAGATTTATTTATTTAATTTTTATGTATGAGTGTCTTGCCTGCATGCACATATGTGCATTCACCAGGTGAGTGCCTGGTGCCTGTAGAGGTCAGAAGACAGTGTTAGGAAGGGTTGTAATCCATCAGGTGGGTGTTGGAAACCCACACTGGCCTCTGCAAGAGCAATAGTGTTCTTAACTGATGAGCCATCTCTCCAGCAGGGTCTATTCAGTGGAATCCTGAGCCCCAACCTTCTGGAATTCCCAGTCAGCTGAGGGAAATCCAGTTTCTGTCCCAGAAGAGCTTTGTCTGATGGAGGAGACATAACCTTTGTCCTTGGAGAAAACACCCCCTCCCCACGCCCTGATTTGATGGTGGAGCCTCTCTCCAGTCATGGGGAAGACAGTTCATAGGGCAGGGGGTGCCGCAGCTCCTGGAATTGGGAGAAGGATGAGGACTAGACTAGGAGTCAGGCTTCTCGCCTGGGATTTGATGCTGTGTGACCATCAATCTGCCAAAGCTACTGAGCCTCCCCAGGCCTCAATTCCACATCTGTGAAGCAGGGTTTGCAGCACACATCACGGGACAACTGTAGAAATCATGTCGTGTTGTGACCCTGGGGATGCAGTGACATCACAGAGTTCCCAAAAGCTTAGCTCTCTGTGCGGTTGCCCACGGGTATCTTGGCATCAGGAAAGACAAGTCCTACATTTCTTGCCTGTTCATCCCCTACCTGCTTTGAACATCTATTGAGCACTGAGTTTATGCCCATTGCTGGGCCCAGCAACACAACCCCCACATTTTAGGTATCTATAACAGCTTTGATTGAGGGTACTAGACAAGGACAGATGAGCTACTTGACTGAACAGAATACTTCTCTCTCTTGCTTTCTTTTTAAATTTATTTTTTAAAAAGTTTTTTTCCCATTTTACATACCAATCCCTGCTGTGGGATAATGCTTTTGTACACGGGTTTAATAAAACGCTGATTGGCCAGTAGCCAGGCAGGAAGTACAGGCAGGATAAGCAGACAAGGAGAATTCTGGGAAGAGGAAGGCTGAGTAAGGAGACGCCAGCCCACCGTCCAGGGAGTAGCATGTAATAGCACACAGGTAAAGCCACCGAAAATGTGGCGACATATAGATTAACAGAAATGGACATAAGTGCAAGAGCTAGTCAGTAGGAAGCCTGAGCTAATGGCTGATCAGTTTTAATTAACATAAGCCTCTGTGTGTTTACGTGGGCCTGAGTGGCTGTGTACCAGGTGGGACACAGGAAATCTTCCAGCTACAAATCCCAGTCCCCCTCCCTGCCCTTCTCCCACCCCATTCACCTTCCCCCATCCCACCCCCCATCCACTCCTCAGAGAGGGTAAGGCCTCCCTTGGGGAGTCAACAAAGTCTGGCACACTAAGTTGGGGCAGGACCAAGCTCCTCCCCACTGTGTCAAGGCTGAGCAAGGTATCCCATCCTGGGGAATGTGTTCCAAAAAGCCATTTCATGCACCCAGAGTAAGTCCTGCTCCCACTGTCAGGGGCTCCCAAAACAGATCTAGCCACATAACTGTCACCCACAATCAGAGGGCCTCGTTAGGCCCCATGCATGTTCCCCAGCTGACAAGCCAGAGTCCGTGAGCTCCAGAATACCTCTCTCTTGAGTGACGTGTCCAGATGTCTGCTCCTTGACCTCTTGGTAGGTGGTCAAGAGGTAGGTGCTATGGAGGGAATTATCGATACTTTTATGGGCCGTGGGCCAAGTTTTGGGTGGAATACTTTCATGTTATGTCATCTAACCTTTAATATTATCTCAATTTTAAAGATGAGGAACTGAGATCAGGAAGATTAAAGAAGGGTCTGGCAGCACGTGACATACTCCCCAGGCCTTTCCAGGCCAGGCCAGCATGTCAGAATGCTAGACAAGCAGCTAGCAGAGGAAGGGGGCAGAGGCCAGGCAAAAGAGCTGGTTGAAAGAGGCCATCTCCTTCCTAAGCCTCAGACTTCCAACTTTAGACAGGGCCTCTTGGGTAGTCCCAGTTTTAAAGACGAGAAACCTGGGCTGACAAGATAGCTCAGTGAGTAAAGATACTTGCTGCCAGGTCTGATGACCTGAGTTTGATTCCCAGAGCCCACACGATGGAAGGAGAGAACTGACTCCTTCTTCTGACCTCCACACATGTACTCACAAACAAACAAACAAATAAATAAATAAATGTAAAAAGATAATTTTTAAAAGGTGAAACAACTGATGCCCAGTTTTATTTATTTATTTGTTCATTTGATGTGTGTGTGTGTGTGTGTGTGTGTGTGTGTGTAGGTCAGAGAACAGCTTGCAATAGTCAGGCATCTCCTTTTACCACAGATACATGGGTCCCAGGAATTGAAGTCAGATCATCAAGTGCCTCTACCCACTGAGCCATCTGGCTGGCCCTATTTTCTTTCATTCTTTCCTTTCCTTTTTGAGACAGAGTCTGGTGTGGCCTGGGCTCTCTTGTTCTCCCGAGCTTGTAGTGGAAAACGATCTCGTACTTCTGAACCTCTTGCCTTCAACCCTGAACAGCTGGGATTATAGGCATGTACCGTCTGTCACTAGAGTTTATTTGGTGCTGGGGACTGAACCCAGGGCTCTGTGTGAACTGAGCCCTAGCCCAAGAAAGACTTTAAGCAGCCCTCCCACCTCCCACCAAAAGGGCAATGGCAAAGCTCTCATCTGTAGGGCCTGGGCAGGCTCCACCTTACCTTCTCCAGCATTCCTGCAGTGAGACAAGATTTTTCCCTGTGGATGCCATCTGGAATGTCTGCATAGGACTGTAACCAGCCTGGGGAGGTGGCTGGAACTAGGCTCCCACTTTTTCAACTCCCACAACTCAGAGGAAAACTTTATCCATTAGCTGTTCAAGCAAGTCTGGTCTGAGGGTATAATCTAAACAAATCCCTGTGGTACCTTGTAATCTTTATAACAGCCGGGTTACTGTGCTTCCCCTCAACAGCTAGACCAAGTCAGAACTCACATCCTGTCCAGGAAAAAAAAAAAAAAAAGAAGTTTTTTTTTTCTTGGCTAGGAGGGATACCCTCTGCCTGTTGGCCAGGCTTCCATGTTTTTCTTTTTTTTTCTGGTGGGTGTAGCAGGACCACAGACCTTAGGAGGCCCCAGATCTTAGCACAACTGACACCATGATGGAAGTGTCATTCAGACTCTAAAACTCAGCACATAGACAGCACCACCTGCCAAAACAAAAACAAAGACCTAATCCATCAAAGTCCAAGCTCTGGGAATATCTCTAAATGCATTAACCTTGCTTTTTGCTGTTTTAAATTTTAGTGGCATTTATCAGCCATGCACAATAATGGGTTTTGTTGTGACGTTTTCACACATGCATATAATGCATTTTGATCACATTCACTCCCCATGCCTCCTCTCATGCTCCTACCACTCACTTATCCCCTTCCTCTTCCCAATTAGCCTCCTTTCTATTTTCATGCCTTTTTGATTAATTTTTGGTGACCCAATGAGTTCAATTAGGATTGCTTAGATAGAGGAGCACGGTTGAAGCGTTTTATGTTTGTTTTTGAGGTTGTCTCACATGTAACTCAAGCGATCCTGGAATTCACTCAGGCTGGCCTCCAATTCACCACAACCCTTCCCTGGCTTCCCAAATGCTCTGCTATGATGTCTTAGACAGAGGCACAAGCCCTTTGTCCCAGGAGCCTGGGTCCGACAATGATGCTTCTTGAGTCCCAGTGCAAAATACAGAAGTAGAGCGCTGAGGCTGAGCTGGCTATGGTCTAAAGCAAAAATGGCAGCAGCTGGGAGGCAGGGAGCGCAATCCCAGTTGCAGGGTGCTCAGCTGCTGTTAAAAGGTGTTTGGAGCGCGAAGGCCACGCCCCGTCCACGCCCCTCCTCCGGCAGGCGGACACCGACGGGCGGGCCCGAGGGTGACTGAGGGCTCGCAGCTTGCAGCCCATCGGCCCCGAGACCGGCGTGGCCATCTGCAGGGTCGCCATGTCGTCGGTGTTCGGCAAGCCCCGAGCGGGCAGCGGGCCGCACAGCGTGCCCCTCGAGGTCAACCTGGCCATCCTGGGGCGCCGCGGGGCGGGCAAGTCTGGTGAGTGGCGCGGAGCGCGGAGGATGGGGGCAGCTTCATCCACGGGCTCCCAGAGACTTGCTTCTCCGGGTGGTTGGGTGAGTTTCTACGACTTTGCTTTTTGCCTCAGTTTCTCTGATGCTGGCTCCCACTCTCCTCTTGCTACTTGGTATCTGCCTTCAGCTGCTTGCCTGGCTCTTCCTCTGCCTCTGTACTCGGTACCTGTGACTCCCGCTGTCCCCAACAATACTGTCTCTCTTTGTGTTTCTCTTAGGTCTTCCACTCATCTCCTTCCCTGGGACCAGCAGCCAAGTCTCGTCAACTGACACTAAAGAGACCTGTTTGCACTGGTCGCCAGCCCTGGTTCCCCTTTGAACTTAGTGTCACCCTTGCTACTCCTTGATCTGGGCTGTCTACCCCCTCCCCTCACCACTTTTTCCAAGAGACTTGATAGAAGTCAGTAGAGATTAGAATCCTCAGGCCTGGGCCACTCCTCCATTGCCAACCCTTGGGATTCTGAAACAGACTATTTTCTTATCAAATGTATTTGTTTCAAGCCAGACCCCTCTTGACTTTCTGGAAACGGGAGACTATGGTCCCAGGTGCCAGGGACTTGTCCTTGAGGATCCTGGGTCCTGGGCTACTACCTATTGAGGTAACTGCTGTCAAACCTGAATCTTCATCGCTTCTAAGAGCCATCCCAGAGACCCCCAAAAGGAGTGTCTGACCTGCCACCTGACCTTAAAGACCCAGACAGTTGAAGATGGGTGGGCAGAAGGGGCTCCTCTGGTTGTCCAGTTACAGCCGGCAGGGACCCATCAGCTGTGGCTTTCCTTCTCTTTGAATTCAGCACCCCTGGCTCAGAGAGGGGGACCCAGAACGCTGTGAAAATTAGCCTGTCCCTAGTGACTCAGTCAATACCATAAGTTAGCCAGTGACTAAATGGATGAAGAAATTATTTTTTATTTTTGATGCAGAGTCTCATAGAGCCCAGGCTGGCCTGGAACTTGCTATGCAGCCAAGAATGAATGACCTTGTATTCCTGATTCTCCTGCCTCCACCTCCCAAGTGCATCACCATTCCTGGTTTATGTAATGCTGGGGATGTACCCCAAGGCTTCATGCACTCTACCAACTAGGTTACAGCACCAGAAAGTTTAAAATATGTATTCCTTGGCTATTAGTTTTGCAAATTGGCAGTGTTAGGAATCCTTCAAAAGAACTTCATTTTTAATCTTATCAAGAGTCCAGCATAATATATCTGGCTGACCCTTGCCTTTATGTGGCAAGCTCTGAACAGGAGCACTCCTGTTAGTGCCCTCTACAAGGGAGAAAGAACTACTTTTTCAAGGCTTACATTCTCAAGAGCTACCCCAGAGTGGTAACAAAAGGCCAAGGTGTAGAGGACTCAGACTAGACCGTGTTTACATGAGACACAATCTGTCCTGGACCTTGCCTGGGAAACTCATGCCCTCAGGGGTTCAGACCTTCCTAGCAATAGACAGTCAATTCTTCACTTACAGTCTTTGGTCTGTTGCCAAAACTGGGAGTAAATGCCCCGTACTACAGAATCAATGTGACCTGTCCACAGTGGGAGACATGTCCTTTCAGCTGGAGGGGTGGTGGTGGTGGTCCTCCAGACCTCAGGATAACTAGATGTAGGGTCTTGACTCTGGATTTGGTTGTTCACAGACACCCCTTAGACATGCCTCTCGCTGCCTTTCTTGCTCATAATAACTTTTAGAAAAATAATCCCAGGGTGCACGCAATTAGTGGGACTTGGCACCCCATTTCTACACCTTCTGAGTCAATTCCTTTGCTCTGCAGCATGAAGCCCTAGGAGAGCCAAGCTTGGTGTCAGCCAGAGACCACAGAGGTCAGCTAGGCCTCCTTAAAGTGCGAGGGACAGAGGCTTGGGGGCTGGCCGCAGACCTGACGGGGTCTGGCTCACCTCTTTCTTCTGTTTGCAGCCCTGACTGTGAAGTTTCTCACCAAGAGGTTTATCAGCGAATATGACCCCAATTTGGGTAAGAAGCCGCTCCTCTCTGGGTCTCCTCCGCCTGGGCCCCACCTGGATGTTCCCCTGGGGCCTCCCCATGGGTGGGCCCTGGCCAGCACTGTGCATCTTAGGGGAGAAGGGGAGAACCACGGGGATGATTCAGTGTACACCAGACAACTGGGGGGGGCGGGGGCTGGTCCAGCTCAAGGGCCTGAGACTGTTTGCCCTCAAATATGCAACGCAACAGACCTTAAAAGAACATTTTTTCTTAAATAGCAGAATGTCCACATCCAAATAGTCACAGTTCTTCAAAATGATCTCTCAGTGTTCTCCCGAGGGCAGCCAGACGAGCTATTTAAGGGATTCTGTGAACCAGGTGCCGGACATTCCTTGAACCAGGGACCGTTTGTTTTGTTTTAGATTTTTTAATTTACTTTATTTTATGTATATGAGTATTTTGCCTGCGTGCGTATCTATGCTCCATGTGTGTGCCTGATGCCCATGGAGGGGGCATTGGATCCCCTGGAACTGAAGTGACAGATGGTTGTGAACCACCACGTGAGGGCTGGGGATGGAATCCGGTCCCAGTAACAAGTGTTCTCAACCACGGAGCCATTTTTCTATCCTCCACCTCCAGGCCCAGATTCATTGTGTAACGCTAACTTTGAATGCTGGCTCTGACGTTTATTGGCTGGGTAACTGGGAGACAGCCACTTAATCTCTCTGAGCTACCATTTCCTCATCTGCCAGCGGAGCATAGGCATAGATATATCAGTGAGCCGCTGTGAGGATTCGAGGAAGAACATACATCAGGCTAGTGCTTGACCCCAAGAGACTCTCAGCGCACATTGACGTTTTTCTTCCTCCTTAAATGGCTTCCCATGCATGCTGCTCAGAGCCTACCACATTCATGAGATCTGTGTTGTGAAACTTATTTTTAACAGAAGGATCATCCCCTAAAATAAACTCTCACATGCGACCCTAATCCCCAAGATAAACACAATTAGAATCTGATTAGCACCAAAGTCACTTCTAGCTCTTGTTTATAGTATTTTTATTTATAAACTGTCCATTGAGAACAACGAGGTGTCTGAATGAGCTTAGCTGTTTGAAAACAATGTTGAGTTGTTTCCCCATTTATAAAAATCAAATAAAGTGTTGGTGGGACCCAAAGGGGAGGGTATGTCTCAGGCACATGTGGCTAAAACAGGGGTTGGGGATTTAGCTCAGTGGTAGAGCGTTTGCCTAGCAAGTGCAAGGCCCTGGGTTCGGTCCTCAGCTCCGGGGCCCGGGGGTGGGGGGGGTGGGGACATGTGGCTAAAACAGTTCTTTATAAGAAAGAAACTGAGGCAGAGGGGACTCAGTGACTTGCCTAACATTACAGAACCCCCTCAGGTTCAAAGGAAAGATAAGGTCCACCCACTTCCTGTGAACTGCAGTCTGTGGACCCAGAAGTAGAGGTGTATAGGGCACTGGACTCTCTGAGCCTCGATTTCTCCTTATGGAGTGTGGGACAGGGTTGTCTGTGTTGGAGCTGTGTCTTGTTGTGGGCTGTGACTGGAGCTGCTGGGGGCTAGAGATGCCATAGAAGGGTTCTCTGCCCTAGGTGGGCAAGGGGCTCCGGGGAATGTTCTTGCCTGGCTCCTCCAGGGAACAGCGTCAGCTTCTTACTGCTTTTGCCTCCATCCTGTTCCCGTAAGGACATGGATGCTCATCGTGTCTGAGGTGCCACCTGGTGAACTAACAATCTGACAGAACTTCTTTGGTGCCTTTTATAAAATGACTATTTTAAGGATATCAAAAGTTCCCAGAGTCAAGGTAGGCTCTACACCACTGTGCCTGGGTGAGAAGTTGCCATTCTAGCTCCCAAGGCCAGTCACCCGATGACCTGAGGCTTCATCCAACTTGTGCATCTGTGCTGGGATTCCTACAGAATAGGCTGCTTCGGTCAGACATAGCTGAAGGACCAGCAGACACATCTTAGCCAGGGAGCAAGGGGTCGGGGAGGCAGCCCAGAAGGCCCAAGTTCAAATCCCCCCCCCCCAATTACTGGAGATTAAACAAACACTGTGATTCATGTATGCTAGGCAGAACTCTACCACTGAATTGTATACTAGCCCCTGCTCCACACACACACTTTTTTCTCCCAGTTTTTTTTTTTTTTTGGTTTTTCTAGACAGGGTTTCTCTGTGTAGCTTTGCGCCTTTCCTGGGACTCACTTGGTAGCCCAGGCTGGCCTCGAACTCACAGAGATCCGCCTGGCTCTGCCTCCCGAGTGCTGGGATTAAAGGCATGCGCCACCACCGCCCGGCTCTTTTCTCCCAGTTTTAAGACAGGGTCTCACTACATTGCACAAGCTTGCCTTGAACTCATTCTGCAGCCCAGGCAGGGACTGACCTTGCAATCCTCCTGCCTCAGCCTCCCAAAACAATCTTGCCATCTTTCTACAGTGGAGCCAACAGAAGATCAGGGAGGCTACCAGGAAGACTAAGGTCAGAGGAACGCTTGTCCTCAGGCGAGGCAGGACTTTGCCTGTTTGGAGGGAGTGCCTAACAGACAACTTTGGCCAAACATTAAAAAGTATGAACACGATGTAGGCATCCAGCAACAGCTCTTCTTGGGCCAAATATAGTTAAACATTTGGGGCATATTTTCCATTAGTTTTTTTTTTTTCTCTTTGGATAAGAGCAGCTATTTATCCAAGTCCCCAAAGCAGGCTGGGGACGAAGAGCTGTCTGTGACTCATGTTGGATGTTAGTGGACCTGGCCTGTGTCCAGGCCTGCTGGGCTGCCAGCGGCCCTCGGGGAGAAGTGTGTGACTACATTCAGCCAGGGCAAGGGGTGCTGTCCTCCCAGTACCACTGCTAGGAAGGCAGAGAACACCTCGGATCTGCCTAGAGGGGTCACCCAGGGAAAGGTGGGGACCGAGTGTGCTCACGTACGTGTGCCAGGGATGGCTGGGAGTAGGAGACACAGTCAGCGTGCCAGTGACGTTTCTGTCAGTCTGACCTCATTCTGACTTCTTGGGTTTAAAGTCGTAAGAACTAAAAAAAGAAAAAAAAAGAAAGAAAGAAAGAAAGAAAAAACAAACTGGTGAAATCCAAATAAGGTCAGTGATTTAGTTCATAGTACAGAACCAACATCAATTTCCTGGTCTGGCGATTGTGCTGTGGTTATATAAGGCATAACACTAAGGGAAACAGAGTGAAGAGTACATAGGAATCCGTTAGTTTGTAACTTCTATGAGCTTAAAATTATTTCTTTACAAAATAAGTGGGTATGAGGGCTACGGCTGTAACTCAGTTAGTAGGGTGCCTGCCATATTAGTGTGAGGGCCTGAGTTCGGAGCTCCAGCACCCATGTGAAAAGCTAGGTGTGGTGGCATGTATCTGTAATCCCAGCACTGGAGAAAGCAGAGACAGGTGGATGGATCCCTAGAATGGAATGGCCATCCATCTGGTCACTTCAAGTTCAGTGAAAGGCCGTGGCTCAAAGAGTAAGGTGGAGGAGTGGGGCTGGAGAGATGGCTCAGAGGTTAAGAGCACTGACTACACTTCCAGAGGACCCAACACCCATGGCAAAACACTAGTGCACATAAAATAAAAATAAATAAATGATGGGAATGTCGTTCTATATGCTGTGAATGTGTGTTGCTCTGATTTGGTTGATAAATAAAATGCTGATTGGCCAGTAGCCAGGCAGGAAGTATAGTATAGGCAGGATAAGCAGAGAGGAGAATTCTGGGAACAGGAAGGCTGAGTCAGGAGTTGCCAGCCAGACACAGAGGAAGCAAGATGTGAAGGCAGAACTGAGAAAAGGTACCAAGCCACGTGGCTAAACATAAATCAGAATTATGGGTTAATTTAAGATGTAAGATCTAGCTAGTGAGAAGCCTGAGCCAATAGGCCAACAGTTCATAATTAATATAAGCCTCTGTGTGTTCATTTGGGTCTGAGCAGCTGCGGGACTACAAGGACACAGGAGCTGGGTGGGCACAGGAAAACTTTCAGTTACAAATAAATAAAATAATTAAGTGAAAAGAGGCTGAAGAAGACCCCAGGTGTCAAACTCTGACCTCCACACATAGATGCACACACGAACATGTACACATACATACATACACCACATACTTGCCCAAATAAATAAAAGGAGAAAAAAAATTACCTAGGAATGTGACCTGTCCTGTTAACCTTGGAGACCTCCACATTCCTCACTGCCATTTTTAGATACTTATTATGGGCCAGGCCCCAAGTCTGGAGGACTAAGCAGTCCTCCCACAGTCCTGGGAGATAGGGCTGTTAAATGTACTAGCTCAGGGACAAGCCAAGCAGCAGAGTGAAGGCTTGAAAACTGTTAGCTCTGGCCAGGCAGTAGTGGTGCACACCTTTAATTCCAGCACTTGGAAGGCAGGAACCAGCCTGGTCTACAGAGTGAGTTCCAGGACAGCCAGGGCTACACAGAGAAACCCTGTCTTGGGGAAAAGAAGAAGAAGAAGAAGAAGAAGAAGAAGAAGAAGAAGAGGAGGAGGAGGAGGAGGAGGAGGAGGAGGAGGAGGAGGAGGAGGAGGAGAAGAAGAAGAAGAAGAAGAAGAAGAAGAAGAAGAAGAAGAAGAAGAAGAAGAAGAAGAAGAAAAGAAAGAACAAAAGGAAGGGCAGGGGAGAAAGCTGTTAGCTCATGCTATCATAGTGCTCCCATTTAAAAGGAGGATGCACTCCTTGAGAGCAGAAGTCTAAATCAGGCAGTTGAAATGTAGCTGAGACTGACTTGGGGGGAGGGGTGCGGTGTATGTGTGTGCTGTGTACGCGCAGGAGTGCGTGCAAGTTTGCAGATCTGTACGCACCCAGAGGCCAGAAGAGGGCATCCAGCATCTTGTCACTTTCCACTTTATTCCTTGGAGACAGGGTCTCCATGAGCACAGGGATAAGCTGACAGTCAGCAATCCCCCACGATCCTCCTGTCTCAGCCTCACAGTGCAGGGGTTATAGGCATGCACACATCTATGATTGACTTTTTACGTGGGTGCTGGGGACTTGAACTCAGGTCTTCGTGCTTGTATAACAATCACTTCTCCCCACTGAGCTTCCCCACCCCCTCTCCCCACTGAGCTTCCCCACCCCCTCCCCCGTTTCCCTTAAGTTGGCTTGGATCCTACATTACCTTGTCTATTTGATAATGATGACTTATAAAACCTTGGAACTTGTGTGTGAGGTCTGACATGTCATAAGCTTCTCTTTTCCCTTCTCTCCTCTACTACTGAGGGAAGAAGTCCTCTTTGGGGACTCTCTGTGGGCCAGGTACTATGGTGAAAGGGACAGACAGTGGAGAAAATCGGGGTTCTTTTTTTTTTTTTTTTTGGTTTTTCGAGACAGGGTTTCTCTGTGTAGCTTTGCGCCTCTCCTGGAACTCACTTGGTAGCCCAGGCTGGCCTGGAACTCACAGAGATCCGCCTGGCTCTGCCTCCCGAGTGCTGGGATTAAAGGCGTGTGCCACCACCGCCCGGCAAAAAATCGGGGTTCTTGGAGGAAGCGCCAAGCCTCTGCGGCTGAGCCTATGGGCCACACACTCCACACTACAGGCTTTGTGCATGGATTCAGAAATACCCTGTCCCCCAGGGCATGGTATATAGTGGCCTCTGATGCTTCAAGCCTGAAAAGTGAAGAGAGACAGTGGCTTGGTAGCAGCTCCCAAGGGCCAGTCAAGGCTACACTGGAGTCCAGCACAGGAGGTAGCTGGGACATCGACCTTCTCTGAATGCCATGCCTCTGACCTGGCTGACCATCTGTGTTGCAGAGGACACCTACAGCTCTGAGGAGACTGTGGACCACCAACCTGTCCACCTGAGGGTCATGGACACTGCAGATCTGGTAACCTTACCCCCATTCCCCGCAATCCCCCAGAGAAGGCAGTGAGCCAATGCAGCCTACCGAGTTCTGACCTCACGAGGGAATCGGATCCCTCTAGGCTCCAGTTTGCTGTGTGGCCCTGAATGGGGCTCTGACTTTTCTGGGCCTGAATCTTTCATTTGCCATATGAGAAGGGCGATTGCTGACATCAGCCCAGATAGCCTGTGCTGTGAGGCTAAGCATACACATGTGCAAACTTATTTACACAAACACTCCTACACAGAGCCTGTCAGCCCGTCTCCCCAACATATCTCTCCACGTCCTCCCCACTCCCTGCCCTGGCTAGAGTCTGTTCCCAGAGACCAAAGGGGCAGTATGGACCTGACCCAAAAGCAGCAGTACCCAGGGACAGTAGGACCTTGGAGGACCATGCCAGAATCTTTGACTCAGTGCCCAAGGGGCCAAGGTCTCCAAGTCCCTGGCTGGGTGGTGGGAGGGAGGTTCATGAGACAATGTCTCTTTTCACACCAAGCCAAATCAACACTGAAGTGCCCCTGTGCAGAGAGATCTGCTGGGAACAATGTACAAAGATTCAGGAGTTGGAAAGGGCAGCCCAGGTGAAGGCCTTTCCCCCCCAAGTTCTTCTGCCTCTGAGGTAGATTCCGCTCCTTCACTCCAGGACACCCCCAGGAACTGTGAGCGCTATCTAAACTGGGCCCATGCCTTCCTGGTGGTATACAGTGTCGACAGTCGTCAGAGTTTTGAGAGCAGCAGCAGCTACCTGGAGTTGCTGGCCTTGCATGCCAAGGAGACGCAGCGCGGCTACCCTGCCCTGCTGCTGGGCAACAAACTGGACATGGCCCAGTACAGGTGAGTGCAGACGTCTTAGCCCTCTCCTCTAAAGCTTGCTTCCACATGGATGCAGAATGACGTACTTAGGGACCACTGCTGCCCCAGACCGGCGCCGTCCTCAACTTCAGGGAAAGGGATCGTGCTGGACGAGTGCACTGGGAGTTTGTCTTCCAGACAGCCAGTGACGGAAGGGAAGGACACCTGGGCCACTTAGGACATGGGCTGGATCCCCAAAGGCAAGAGAGAAGGCACCCCTTCCTTTCGGGAGTCTCGGTGGTCTCTTACATCAGCCTTGCCCGAGGCCATGTGACATTCCGGTCCCTCTCCCAGCAGCTGAGTAGTCATTTGGTGCCCAACTCCAGTCCCAAGGAAGAGGTCTAATTTGCTCCTTGGATCAGGTGACAGCTGTCCTCCAACCAGCCCTTGCCCTGACCAGGCACAGCACCCCAGGCTTGTTGCCACAGTAGGCTGCTGAGGGCAGGCCTCTCTTAGAAAGGCTTGGACTTGAACCAGAGGTCACAGACTGGGCCAGAGGGCAGATCACCACAGAATGCTGCAGCCATATTTTGCTTGGCTGGCACAATGTTTTAAATGACTTGGAATTGGAATGCTTTGAGGTGGGGCCTGCTTCCTTCAGCTGACCACAGGCCTCGCCACTCCCTGTGGTTTCTACCTCCACCCTCCCCACACATCCAAGTCACCCGCCTAGCCTGAAGGCCCTTGACACCCAAAGCCTACACTTGAGCAATCCAACTGAAACTCCAAAGTGGACATTGTTCCATGTGGCCAGTCCACCTGCTGGGTGTGGCACTCACCTTCCATCAGCCTCCTACGTCTCCCTTTCTGCTCTTAACTTGTTCTCGCTCTCCCAGACCCCAGAGGCCCAGTGCCTGGTGTTGGGATTTGTTCAGATTAGGTCACACAGGCAGAGGGAGAAGGGAGTTGTGGTTTCCTGAAAGGTAACTCTGATAGTGTGGGGCCTTCTTCACGGGTGGTCCAACCTGCAGCCCAAGAAAAATTGCATCTTGGAGAATAAGGGAAGTCCTACAGTGGGTAAATCACTGAAGGTGGTCCTTGAACTCTCTTGGAACCTGGAAGAGAGATCGGAAGACTGGACTGTGAATAGAAAGGAGAGTGTTCCATATGACACGGGGTTGTGGGGGTGACTATAGAATATTATTTTAACCCCAGTGTTTCCCAAAGAAATTGTTGAAAATGGTTTGCAAGCAAGTGACCGGGGTTTGAATGAAACAGCCCTGGTTCCCTGGGTACAAGACGTGATGGTTTACCCCACTTTTCAGCTGAACACTAATAGGTGTAACACTAACAGGGCAGGGCTCAGTGGCACGCTAGGTTTCCTGTCCCCCTGCACCTGCCGAATCAGCCTTGGCCCAGAAACTTTTCCCCACTACTTCTTACCCTGGTATCCATCCCCTCCCATCTTGGCTGTGCCATGGTCCTCAGGGATGGTGGTGGGGCAGCTCATCAGTGGGTGGTGGTGAGCAGGATCAGCTGGTGCAGCCTTGGCCTCAAGACCCGAGGAGTCCCCGTCTGAACGTAGGAGCTTTTCAAGAGCCAATCTTCATTTTTTTTCTCCACCTCCATTCTCATGGGTTCCAGTCAGACGTGCCTAGAGACCTTCCACTTGCAAACATCTATCCTCTTATCACAGGAGGTGGATAGAAGCAAACAGGAGTGCATACAGCCCTGCCCTGTCCCTCTGTTCTCCTAACATGCTACTCTCTGCTGGCCCTCCACTGGACAAGCAGACAAAACACCCATGAGTCTGCCGGTAACAGGCTTCCTGAGTAATCTGAGGGGTGCGGCCCCCCTCAGTGCAAACAGACGCTCTTTTCTAACACTGGTTCCTCAAGTCAGGGCTAAGGGTGGCCATCCTGAGGAGACAGGCAATGGCTTTCTTCCTTTGGCCATAGGCAGAGTCTAGCATGGGAGAACTTGGCTCATCTTTTCTCTTTTCTTCATATGCATTCCTAAATTCCAGCTTTGGCAACACCAGCTACCATTTATCAAGTGCCGAGTCTGTGACAGGTAATTATGCTAAGCACGCCATGCAAATTGTCTTTCTTAGCCCTAACAGCCTGCAGAGGCGGGTGCCATTATCCTGCCGTACTGATGAGAAAACAGATTCAGAGGGTGAAGATGGGCCCAGACCACCGGGTGGGGAGATGGGTGTGGGACCCTCCCTGCCCGACTTGGAATGCCATTCTCCTGACTGCCTCACCCTGCTTCCTCGCCAGGCAGGTCACCAAGGCTGAGGGCGCGGCCTTGGCAGGCAGGTTCGGGTGCCTGTTTTTTGAGGTCTCTGCCTGCCTGGACTTCGAGCATGTGCAGCATGTCTTCCATGAGGCGGTGCGGGAGGTGCGCCGGGAGCTGGAGAAGAGCCCCGCGGCCCGGCCCCTCTTCATCTCTGAGGAGAAAGCCCTGTCTCACCAGACCCCGCTCACAGCCCGACATGGGCTGGCCAGCTGCACTTTCAACACTCTGTCCACGATCAGCCTGAAGGAGATGCCCACTGTGGCCCAGGCCAAGCTGGTCACTGTGAAGTCATCCCGGGCCCAGAGCAAGCGCAAGGCACCCACCTTGACCCTACTGAAGGGCTTCAAGATCTTTTGAGGACCCTTCTACAGGAACCTCAGGCTCGACTGATGCTTGGGGCTGCAGGGCAGGGGCTGCCTTGCCTTCCGATGTACCAGAGGCCCTTATGCTCGGGTCCATAGCAGACTCCACCTCCAGCACCAAGCAGTCCCGACATGCTCACTGTGTGAGCCAGAGGGACAGGCAGGTATGCTGCTCTGAGTCCCTCCAGGCCTTGGGCTTCATGGTAACCTCTGCATCCACCACCCTGGAGAGAAGCTGCCCCTGTTACCAACCAGAGACCTGGAACCAGGAGCGAGCAGAAAGGAACTGCGGTGCATATCCTGTGCCAAGACTCTCGTCTGCTCCAGCCACTGTTAGGCCCCCTGCAGCCCCGGTTCAAAGCAGCTTTATCTATGTGAAGGCCTGTAGCAGTTTACAGGATGGCTGGCCCTGGGGCCCTACTTCCACCTGGTGGTAGAAAGAGGTAGGGCAGTTGTCCGGAGGCCCAAAGCTGGTGCCTCCCGTGTCTTCTGATGTCTTAAAACCCCAGGCTACAAACCTTACAGCTTATCCAAGAAAAATCTGGTTAAAATAATCCTATGGGAAAGCCTGGATACGGCAATGAAATCTGGATGGGAGCATTTCAGCACTCGCCTCTCAGCAAAGGGTGCAGAGAGGGGCTGTGGATTGTCCAGGCTAGTGGGGAGCCCCCGGCATTTTTTTTCACCAGCCTTTGGGGGGCTCTTGTGACCACTTTATTAGTAGACCCACCCCCTCGGATCACCCTTCTTGAGCTTAATGACTAAGGCTGCAGAAAGTCATTCTACACAGGTAGGTGTAGTCTGGTTTGGTTGGACCTAGGACCCTCAGCAATGGATCTGAGTTTTTTTTTTTTTTTTTTTTTTTTTTGGTTTTTCGAGACAGGGTTTCTCTGTGTAGCTTTGCGCCTCTCCTGGAACTCACTTGGTAGCCCAGGCTGGCCTCGAACTCACAGAGATCCGCCTGGCTCTGCCTCCCGAGTGCTGGGATTAAAGGCGTGCGCCACCACCGCCCGGCTGGATCTGAGTTTTCAAAGCTCACTTTGGCAAGATAGATCCCAATGTGTTTGGGATTAATAAGGTGGATTTTGGCGTCAACCATTTGGTGTTTTACCAAGTCTCAGATGTGAGAAGGCTGTCCAGCTACAGCTGTTTCTTACTGTTTACCACAAACTCTAGATGGCCTGGTTCAGGAGGGGCATTAGATGGGCTGAACCAGGCATCCTAACCTAGGAAGTCTGCTCCTTCCGCACCCAGCCAACAGACGCAGGAGCTTGGACTGAAAAGATCTCTAACCCAGTCTTCAGCTCTGTTCTGTAGCTGGAGATGCTGAGGTCAGGAGGAGGCTGTGAACTACTCAAGAGCATGTACCACAAGCCCTGGCACTGATCCTGACCAACAGGCCAGATCTGAACTTTGTACTGTTTATTTCTTTGAGACAGAGTCTCTTTATTATGTAGCTTTGGCTGTCCTGGAACTCGCCCAGGCTTGAGTTGAACTCACAGAGATCCACCTGCCTCAGCCTTCCAAATGCTGGAATTAAGGCTTCCACCACACACACGACTTTGTACATTTGATCCAAGCCACTTGTGTGCTGGGGAATATTATTTTAAGCTATTTGTTTATGTTGCATTTGTTTAACTCTGTGAAGCTGTGTTACTGTGCCTGTCTAAAACACCTGATGGTCTAATAAAGAACTGAACAGCCAATAGGGAGGAAGGAGAAAGGATGGGTGGGGCTGGCAGGCAGAGAGGATAAATAGGAGAAATCTGGGGGAAAGAGAGAGAGAGAGAGAGAGAAGTAGCCAGAGAAGGAGGTGGACTCCAGGGACCAGCTACCCAGCCAGCCATGGAGTAAGAGTAAGATTTACAGAAGTAAGAGAACAGGAAAATCCCAGAGGCAAAAGGTAGATGGGGATAATTTAAGACAAGCTCGCTAGAAACAAGCCAAGCTAAGGCTGGGCATTTATAATTAAGAATAAGCCTCTGTGTGTGATTTATTTGGGAGCTGGGTGGCGGGCCCCCCAAAAGAGCAAAAACAAACACCAACACTTGTGTGCGCTTCAGAGACTACCATCGTTCGAACCAACCCTACACCTCCAACTGCCCACCTGGAGAAGCATTTTAATAAAAGACTTTTTTAAATAATGAATTTTCATCTGGGCGTAGTTTATTATGTCTGCTGAAAATAAGTTAGGCTACTTGGAGGGTAGTGTCTAACCTGAGGGGTTTGAGGCCACAGAGCTGAGCTCAGATCACAGTCATGTGTCTGGCTGGGGTAGTGTGTTTTCTCAACTCTCACTAGCTCTCAGTTTCCTGTGGATCTGGTAGAAAGACCTGTGGTGCAGCTTTCTCATTCAACTCAGTTTCCTCCGGGGGCACGTAGGGCTTCTCTGAGATCAGTGTCTCTGTGAGGTTGCTCAGGCTGCTGTGTTCTTTCATCTTGGAATCATCTAGGTGCAGGACTTGTGGTGTTTCTTTGTCTTGTGGCTGCTTCTTTCGATTTCTGGGAGGAGAGGAAATGGTGTTGATGGGGGACATTGAGAGGCTGGGTCAGGACTCAATGGTTGAGAGCCTGAGGGAAGACCCTCTGTGCAGAAGTGGTGGGGGCTGGGTGGCTCCCACTTTCATATCTACCATCGCTCTGCAAGGCTACCCAGGAGCTAAGCTTTGATTGACAGCCCTTCCCCTTAGAGACGAGGAAGCATATGAAGGCAAAGAAGCACCGTATTTTACATCCAGGTCTGCCCATTCTGAGCCCTGTGACTTTTCTCCAAACCACACTATCCTGGCCCCAAGGCTGTCATCTTAGGACAGGTCCTCACCCACCATGCTCGATCCCTGAGATGCTGCCAGAAATCCCTAACTAACCTTCTATCTGTCACTCTGCTTATTTCTCCAAACAGGTTTCCCCACACCTTCAGTCATGTATGTAAGACACAACCCTACACATGGCTCCCACTGGCTACTTCCTCAACCTGACGGTCTTTTCACTAATTCTTGAAAATCTCTCTTTTCTCCAAGCTGATTTACTCAAGGAATTCCTGGGCTTCCTGCAGGCCATGGTGGAAGGGTCTGAGCACCAGATAATCTGCGCTCCTGTGGACAGTCACCTTGTCTCTCAGCTGAGTTTGCTAAGAGGAACGCTTCCTGACAGGGCAAGAGGGGCCGGGACCACTTAAAGGGTGACACCTTCTGCATCATTCCAACTTGCTAGCCAGGGCTAGGGGGTCATAACTGGGGGCAGCTGCTGGGTTGTTTAATAGCTTTGCTCCCTGATAGCTGCCACCAAAAGACGAAGAGCCAGTTCCCCTACGTGACTCTTAGATTGCCATCTAGGAAGGAATCCCCACTCCTGCCTCTGGAGACCCACTCTAGACCAATTCCTCACCTGTTTGCCAGGATGCTCCTCCTCAGGAGGACCATGCTTATCACCACCACCAGGGCTGCCAGAACCAGGATGGAATAATTCCAAGGAGCCGCTGAGGAGGGACACACAGACAGACAAGTCCTCAGGCCAGGTGCCACTCAGACCCACTCACAACTGCAGCTTGGGCTCAGGCCCATCTCGGATCATTCATTTGTCCCCTGCTATGGAGAGCCCCATCAAGACCCCTTGCTCTGAGGGAACTCCCCGACTGACCATTGGGTGGATGGATGGGGTGGAGACAGGCTCTCTGCTCTGGACCAGCCCTGGTCCTAGGGGGGAGACAGCACTGTGTTTGGATACTAGCTGGGTAAAAAGGGGGTGTGAGCGGCAAGGAGGAGGAGGTGGGTCACCTTGAACTTCAGTCTTCAATTTTACTGCCTTTAGGAAAAGAAGGAAGAAAGAGGAGAGGGGGAGAGAATGACTAACTGGGCACAGTGACTGTCTGCCACGGGCACCAGGTAAAGTGGCAGGTTGGGCTGTGAGTGCTCAGGACATGTCAAACCGTCTCCAGGTGAGGCAGGCTCCAGGTGCACAGCTTTTACTCCCCCTGGCAGGAAAGGTCCTCCACCAAATGATCTGACAGTGAATTCCTTCCCTTCTTTCAAGGGTTTTCCCCACAGCAAGCCTTCGTCAGAGTGAGCCATTCCCTGATCTCATTATCTACCTCGATGCATAATCCCCCCCCACCAACCCCCCACCCCCGCCACACACACACACACACACACACACACACACACACACACACTGTATTGAGGGTTGAATTTAGGGATTCTTTGAATGTTAGCCAACCACTTCACCACTGAGTGCCAAACTCTTTTTAAATTCTGAGACAGGGTTTCACTAAGTTGCCCAGACTGGACTTCAACTCTGTGTGGCTCATGCAGGCCTCGAACTTGTGATCATCATGGCTGAGCCTCTTGTGTAGCTAGGATTGCAGATCTGGGCTACCGGGCCAGTTGGCTTCTTTTTCACTGTGCACCGGGAACATATACTTTTAGTTGTTGGTTTCTTTTCTATGTCCTCTACTAGAATGGACACCAGTGTGGGTAGAGACTTGTGTTTTGTTCACTGCCTAGGACACAGTACAGTTCAATAAATAGTAGAGGTGGTTGATGGCTAAGTGGCCCACACCCTGAGAAAAGGCGAGTGAGTGGACTCAGCTAGCCCCTCTTGATGAGATGTCTAGCCTCACTCCCTTTTGAAGAAAATGTGCCACTTGGTGGGGTACAAGAGACAGTGCCAAACTGCTCCACCACGCCCACCCCCATCACTTACCATCTTCTGCACGAAAAAACCAAATCATTTCTTCCAGAAGTTCCTGGGGCACCTCAGGGCCGGCTGCAGCTCCCTCCACACTGTTGTCCATGTCTCTGCTCTTGGTTGAGATGTTTCTGGGCTGTGAACAAACAAGTCTTGAGACCCCAGCGATCCTCCTGGCCTCTCAGGTTCTGGCCTCTGAGCAGACAACTCTGGCAACAGCAGACAGCACATCCTGGCCCTGGTTTGCCTTTCCGCTTTGTCCAAACCATCAGTGTTAGGACAGCAAGAGCCTGAACTGAAGCTGACTGTGGCAGTGAACGCAATAACAATTTCAGGAGACTGAGTCAGGAGGATTGGTAGGCTAGTTCAAGGCCTGGGTAACATGGAGGGTTCCAGATCAGCATGAGCTATGTAGGGACATCCTGTCACAATAAATGATTGACAGGCAAGTTCCTGGGAAGAAGCGTGTCTTACAAAGCTGACCACCAACTTGAACCTCTGTGTGCAAAGGTTGGAATGTTACAAGTCCAGAGCCAAATTATCTTGGACCATCCTTAGCCCCCTCAAAAGCCATTTATTACTTGTCTCCAGGTATGACCTAGCATCTTTGTGACTATCAGGTAAATCCTTTGGAATGTGCAAACAGACTCCTAGCTTCCACCACCCAGAAGGCTAAGAATGTGCTTCAAGAGCATCTAGGTTTACAGCAGAGACTTCTTGATTTTCTGTAACCTGCCTACCCAATTGTTTACAGAGATGCATTCGTAAAATGTCTTGACTTGTGACTTTCATTGTTCTATTACTATAAAACTTCATGAGGCCCTTGGGAGGCAGAGGCAGGAGGATCTCTGTGAGCTCAAGGCCAGGTTGGTCTCCACAACAAGGTCCTGACCAGCCAGGGCTCCAGACTGAGACACTCCCCTCCCCTGCCCACTCATCTCAAAACCACAACCCATGGTGAAACTGGTACCACTCGGAATATGGAATTTAGGGTAACTGGGATCTGTGTTCCTGGGCCCTGGTCACTTATATTTGGCTCCAGGATAAACCATTTCTTACCCTCTTTGAGGTGAGATTTGTGAATTTTTTTTCCATGATAGCTAGATGGTAGATAGACACATGGATAAAATAACAATGTGATCCCAGGAGCAGGTGGGACCTGAAATCAGGAACCACAGTGGAGGAGGGACTCAAATCTTTTCTAAAATGCAGGGGAAGGGGCAGGGATGCATAGGCCAGTGTGAGGCTGTGCCACTGACCGACTGCAGGGTCCTTTCAGGGGACACCCCTGTTTCTGCCAGCTCTGCAACTCCGGCCCATTTCTAACCTAATTATTCCACCCACTCCACCTCACGCCTCCCTCGATAGCCAATCACAGGCCGGTGTCTCTCCAGCTGACGAAGCCTGGTTTATCCTAGTCTCCCTCTGGGGATTGACAGACCTGCTGCCCACTGCTGGGCAAGAAGCCAGAAGAGCCCAAGAAAGACAGCTGCAGGGTGCTGCTGTGGAGAGGTGCTGGGGAGCACGAGGCTCAGTTGGTAAACGCTACCCCCGAGTCGCTACTCAGAGAACTGTTTCTTCTTTTTCTTTTGGTGGGTAAGAGGCGTGGGAGTGGGGTGGGGATGATGACCAAAATTGATTTCTGTTGTTGGCAAGAGCATGAACCACGCTCCCTCAGACAGTCCCCTTAGTTTGAGCCTGTTTCGGTCCCTGGGAAATAAAGCAAGTTCGCATGCAAACACTGCCTTATTACTACTCCACCCAAGATTTTCTACTTAAAGAAACAGTGAGGTTAATTTTGACAGCATATTTCAACGAAGACAGTACACTTAAAAGTATTATTTCAATGTGATTGATGTAAAAACTGTTCAGGTGTTTTACGTTTTTTGATACCAGGTCTTTGAACTTGGGTGTAAACTTTGTGCTCGCAGCATGCTTATCTTGACGCCCACTTGCCACATTTTGAGTGCCCAGTGACGTGTGGCTGGTGGCTAGTTATATTGAGTGGTTCTGGTTCTGGCCCTGACCAGGAACTGGTCCTCCTGACTGCTCTGCAGGTTCTTATCATCCACAAAGACTTAGGAATCAAAAGTTTACAAACCTCATGTTTTAAGTGAGTTTACAGTTTTGTGTGAGACCCCCCGTTCACAGCTGTTCTCAGCTCCTGTGGGTTGTGGGCTGTAAGCGGAACACTCCTGGCAGATTAACCTAGCCGAGAATACAGAACACTTCTAACTCTGGGTGAGTAGACTGACTCAGCTGGTGTTTGCCACGAAGCCTGACAGCCAAACTGAGTTCGATTCCCAGGCCCTGCGTGGTGGAAGAGGAGCGCCAACTCTCGTAAGTTGCCCTTTGACCTCTGAATGTGTGCCATGGCGTGGGTGCATCCCCCCATCCCAAATAAATGTAATAAAAACTGCCCTCAAGGAGGCCACACCATACCTCTCATCAAAACTGAAAACATACACACAAAACAGCACATATTTTCCTAGAACAACTTTCATCGTTGCTGTTGTTGTTTGGTTTTATCGAGACAGGGTTTCTCTGTGTAGTTTTGGTGCCTGTCCTGGATCTCGCTCTGTAGCCCAGGCTGGCCTCGAACTCACAGAGATCCACCTGGCTCTGCCTCTCGAGTGCTGGGATTAAAGGCGTGCGCCACCACCGCCCAGCTCCTAGAACAACTTTTAAGGTACATGTTAAACACATTAGAATAGTTGCCTCCAGGAAAGGAAGAGAGGGGTCATAGAATCCAAAGAAAGTTAAAAAGAAATAATTGAAGACATAAGATGGCAAGTGAAAGGTGTGGAATAGGTGGCACTCATGAGAGCCACCGAAGGCAATGAGACCACGTGGTCTCAAGTGCAGGGGTTCCACAGCTCTGCCGGAGACAGCCTGTGTATGTGCAGCCTGGAACTTTCTCCAACAACTGAATGACAGACAGCCAAAAGGAAACCAAAGGACCCGCCTGACACCAGAGTTTTCTCTGGCACTAAGTCCTCTTGAAAACAGCAGAAAAAAATAAATAAATAAAACACTGGTAGATTGGAAGAAAGTATTTGATATGAATATGAGAGTTAAGCTTTCCAGATATGAATACTCACTCATGTGTCTAAGTAGGTATGCATTGTGGGGAGAAAGGAAGACTCTTTGGGGACTGGACAGATGACTCAGGGGTTAAAAGCAAGGGGTTAAAGACCAGGGGTTACTGGTCTTGTAAAACATTGGTTCTCAACATGTGGGTCTTGACCCCTTTGGGGGTCGCATATCAGATATTTACATTACCATTCATAGCAGAAGCAAAATTACAGTTATGAAGTAGCAACAAAATAATCTTATGGCTGGGCTTGGGGGTCACCACCATGTCAGGAACTGTATTAAAGGGTCGCAGCATCAGAACCACTGTTGAAAAGGGACTGAGTTCAATTCCCACACCTATATCAGGGTGACGCACAATCACCTGGTACTGTAGTTCCATCGGATCCAACACCTTCTCCTGGCCTCTACAAGTACTTGCACACACATGCCCCCACCACACAATTAAAAATAAAACAAATCTTTAAGAAAAAATAAAGATCTAAGACGCTTGAGGACTCAGATGCCTACTTCCACCTTCCTTGACTAGGGACGGGATAGAAAAGACACAGGCATGAGGATGGTTAATCAATGCGATCTGTGTTCTAACTCCCGCATGCCACACTGAGAAGAATGAGGCAGGCTGGCCGGTTGCGGTGCCTGGGTTAATCACAACAGATGAACCCTGCTCCCCACACCCGTAGAGAAGAACAGGGAAGTCTAGGTAGCGAATACTGTCTCCTTCTGGAGACTGACAGGGTCTAGACACCTGTATGTGACATTGACTTTGAAAACGTGTGTGCATATTAGATTTCTTTTGAGTGTGCCACTTGTTCATAAAAGCAATGTGTGCAATTCTTGTGTGTGTGTGTGTGTGTGTGTGTGTGTGTGTGTGTGTGTGTGTGTGTGTGTTGCTGGAGATTAAGCCAAGGGCCTTACACATGCTAGATAAGTAAGAACTCTACCACTGACCTACAACACCTACATTTTTTTTTCAGTTTTATTGATTTTATATATTTGGGTGTTTTGTCTGCATGTGTGTTTGTTTGAACACCACTTTCACGCCTGGTACCCACAGAGGCCAGAAGAGTGTTGGATCCCCTGGAACTGGAGTTACAGGCAGTTGCGAGCCACCATGTGGGGCTGGGAAACAAACCCCAGTCCTCTGGAAGGGCAGCCAGTGTTCTTAACCGCTGAACCATCATCTGTCCATCTCAACCCCTATATTTTTATGGGTGTATATTCTGTACATTTATATGCATGCTTCAGTGTGATATATGTCATATACCTTTTTGAAAGAGCAATTCTAATTTGAGATATTTAATTCATGGAACTAAGTGAATGGAGATGCATGCATGCTTGGGCTGTAGCTCAGTGTTTGAGCGCTGGCCTAGCGTACATGAGTTCCTGGGCCAAATTCTCAGGGGACAATGGGATAGGGACAGAGATGGAGGAAGAGGGAGAGGGGACTAGAGATGGGGAGTGGTGAGCCCAAGCCCTCCCACTCTGAGATACCACAGCAGCAAGGGACTTTCTGTCACACCCTGACCCCCATTAAAAAAGGTGTATCTATTGACTTCTGTAATCAAATCCATGCATGAAGGCTGTGTGTATTTAATACAGTGTGTTACTCCTGTCCAGGTGGCAGGGAGACTAAGTTTGATGTTTGTAGACCATCTGTACTATCAACTCAGCACTGTAAACCAAGGTCCTTTTCCTCTGTAGTTGACAGTACAGTTTCAAAAACGGAAAGTTGTGTATTTGTGGGTGGGTGGATGAGTGGAGGGAGGGAGGGGGAGAGAGAGAGAGAGAGAGAGAGAGAGAGAGAGAGAGAGAGAGAGAGAGCGCAGTAATAGTGACATGTTATGTATCAGCAGCAGCAACAGCTTTTCCAGATTCTGCAGCCATCTGAGCAAAATTGTAGAGCTATCCAGGACATTCCATTTTTTTTTTTTTTAAGTAAAAATCGAGAGCTGGAGAGATGGCTCAGTAGTTAAGAGCACTTGCTGCTCTTGCAGAGGATCTGGGTTGGATTTCCAGTACCTACATGGCAGCTCACAACCATTTGTAACCCCAGTTCCAGGAGATTCAATACTGACTTCTGGCTTCTGAGGACACTGTACATGCATGCCGCACAGACGTACATGTAGACAAAACACTCACACATAAAGTAATTTTTTTTAAGTAAAACTCATATTCCCAGAAACAGTAAAGTTTAGTTATTATTCTGGTACCTGGCACATACTATTATTTTTAATATCATTATTAAATTAAACTCCATGCTTCCTTTGGTTGTCACTTCTTTTTCCCAATGTCCTTGTCCTGTTCATGATGCTGTCCAGGACATCACACTGCAGTGAGGTGCCATGATCCCTCCGGCCCTTCTATCAGATCCCTTCATTTTAAACAGAACTTAACCATTGCTGTGATTCCTGCCACAGACCTGGGGCCACCCATCCCCACAGCAGGCTGAGAGCACTCACCTTGAATCTGGGATTCCTGGGACCTCAGGCTGGGTGGTGCAGCCCTGGTTTCTGTGTTTTCCTCTTCCTCCTCTTGGGAACCTGGGGCAGTCCTTGCATGGGAACTCTCCCCAGGAATGCCCAGTTGTGGTAGGAACTCCACGTACAGAGCTCACGGCAGCGGGGGCCCATTTGGTAGCTCTGCCCTTAGCACACACCCAGGCCTGGTGCCTCTGCTGCCACTCCAGGGTGAATGACCTCTCGAATGCGTGACCTCCGGTGACAAACTGACTCCACTTGACTCAGCATGACCTGTCATTACAGGGTGCCCACTCCAGTCCTCTGACTCTTAATTATTATCAATCGTTAACCACAGAAGGAGTCAAGGCTCCTTCCTTTTATAGCCAGTACTTTCTCACAGTGAAGGTCATCACAGGAACTGAAAGGAACCATAAAGTTAGCCTTGGCAGTCGGGGGTTGGGAGAGTGTGTGATCAGGGATCCACAGAGGAGGAAGCAGGCCCAGGAGTGAGGTGCCTTCCTCTATCAGGCCAGACCTAATCAATCCTGACAGTTGCCAGTGTCCACGTGTGGATCCTCTCTGAGTTAAGTAGTGGAAAGCATGTGGGATGGCAGTGTGGTCTAGAGGAAGAGACCCAGCACATCTTTGAGCCCACTGAATGCCTCACCCTGTGTCTTACAATGCATTCCTTCAGTAACTGATCACCTGCTGTGTGGATAGAGCATGGACAAGGCAGGGACAGATGCTGCCAGCCCAGGGCACAAACTCCAGGGAGACAACAGACAACCAAGAGTCAGCACAGCCATGATGAGCTGAGTGTGGTCTCCAGAATCCACATGGTGGGAGGAGAGAACCACCTCCTTCCTAGAAGTTGCCCTCTGACTCCACAAGCATTCTGTGTCACCTCTGACCCCACACTCACAAATATCACAAGAATTGCAAACACACGTAAGAATGAAAACCAACTAAGAAGATGGACTGGTGAGATGGCTCAGGGGGTAAAGGTGCTTGCTGCCAAGAATGACGGCCTGAGTTTG